TGTCTAGTTATCAGGCAACCCTTGTGTTCTATCAATTATTACATTGTACTAAATTGTGTTCTATTGGTAAAGAGATATTGTGAAAACGTTTTTTAATAAATTTTGCTTTGGTTTCACTTCTGTTTTATTTAAAAAGAGAAATTTCATGAATTTTTCATTCTTTGGTCATACTAAAACAGTAACAATTCGTTAAAATCATAAAATTAAAAATGAACTAGTCTTCAGGTAATCTGAAAATTATTCTGGAAAAGTCCGAAACGAGAATGAATTTAAAAAAAAATTCTTTCTCGGTCCAAACTGAAACGGAGGGGGAGACAGCAGGGCATCCAAAGCGGCAGAAAATTTTTTGTTAAAAATTGACAAAAAAGGGCTTATTTATAGCAAAAAATGGAGCAAAAAAATCGGGGGAGGGCGGAGGGGAAATTTTTTATAGCAAAAAATGGAGCAAAAAATTCAGAGGGAGGGCGGAGGGGAAATTTCTTATAGCAAAAAATGGAGCAAAAAATTTAACAAAAAATCCGGTCACTTTTCCTTAAAATTTAATTGAAATTTGTATTTTTATTTTTTGTTAAAAATTGACAAAAAATGGAGCAAAAAAATCGATGGGAGGGCGGAGGGGAAATTTTTTATAGCAAAAAATAGAGCAAAAAATTTAACACAAAATGCCGTCACTTTTCCTTAAAATTTAATTGAAATTTGTATTTTTATTTTTTGTTAAAAATTGACAAAAAATGGAGCAAAAAAATCGTAGGGAGGGCGGAGGGGAAATTTTTTATAGCAAAAAATTTTACAAGAAATCCAGTCACTTTTCCTTAAAATTTAATTGAAATAAGTATTTTTGTTTTTTGTTAAAAATTGACGATAAATGATACAGAAAAATTTTCAAAAGAGACGAAGAAGCATTTTCTCCAGGAAAAAAATGAATTTGGTTTCTTCATACAAATTTGAGCGCTTCCTTGTGGCCACGTCGATCAAAGCAGCAACAAAAATATACTCCCAGCCCCAGACGATTTATTCAACGTCTAGGTACTGCGAACGTACATCTTCGAGTGCTGCTCCTTTTGTCTCTACAGCTTCCTCTAGAAATTCTCCTGAAATATGAATTAAAAAAAATGTGTTAACTATATGCTCATAGCAATTTAATTTAATATTTAAGGGATATTTGTAACCCTCCATATAATTAAAGTAAAGCGAGTAAATCTGTTTCGGTTGTCGATTTAATAAAGCCTTTCTCTAAAATAGAGAAACTAGAGAGCGGAGATTTGCGCTAGCCAATCACGTACCTGCGCGTAGAAGAAAGATGATACCCAAACTACCTCTCTCTTTCTGTCACTCGTCTACACTGTCGCTGTAAGCGATAGTAATTTTTTTTTCAACCCCCTGCCAGGGGTGAAAAAAGGTAAAATAAAGGGGTTTTTCAAGATAACTCAAAAGGGGTAAGAGCTAGAAAAAAAAATTCTTGTAAAAGTTGTAGAGCATAAAATTCTACATAGAAATGGTCCATTGAATTTTTCTTGTACTATTAAAATTAACAGAGTTAGAGTGGCGAGAAGGGATGATTTCAGAAATTTAAAAAAATCGTAAGCAGAAAAATGGATGAATTTTATACAGGGTGTTCCTAAATAAGTGTCGCAACAGAAAACTGTAAATTCCTCTTGAAAAAAGAAACATTCTTTTCCTCTTCCATTTTCTTTCCGGGTTTTCGTTTTCGAGATACACGGTGTCAAAATTTTCATTTTTTAACATTTTTTTGCCAATATCTTAGGAACCGTTTGAACTACAGGACTGAGTTTTTGTACACGCATTACCACTATTAATAGCTACTTTTTCGCACTTTTCTCGAATTCATTGAACGTGCCAGTGGTGGAGATTTTAAGGTATCGTCAGGGTTTTTCCCCCCAACTTTTACGCCACTGGAAAAATTCTGAAGCGTCAATAAATTTTACACAAAAAGAGTTCTCTTGGTTCATTGCTCTAAAGTCAACGGTGTTCAAGAAAAATGAGTTTTTATGAAGAAAAACAAACATTTTGCTAACGTTTCGAAAATCTTTTGTGATTCAAAAGATAGGTAGTAATAATTAACAATTTTAACGAAATTTAACAACATTTGCTACAAGTAGCTATTAATAGTGGTAATGTATGTACAAAAGCTCAGTCCTGTAATTCAAACGGTTCGTAAGATATTGACAAAAATCTGAAAAAAAATTTTGACACCGTGTATCTCGTAAACGAAAGTCCGGAGAGAAAAATGGAAGAGGAAAAATATGTTTCTCTTTTCAAGAGGAATTTACAGTTTTCCGTTGCGACACTTATTTAGGAACACCCTGTATATATTTTTTCAATCTACCCTTTATTTTATCTTTTTTCACCCCTGTTCGAGGGTTGAAAAAAATTACTGTCACTTATTGTTATTATATACCTCAAACTAACTTATATCAAAATCCAATCAAATCAAATCCAGCGATAGTGCAGTCAATCTATGACAATTGACGGTGCCATTAACAGAAAAAGAACACTGATCCGAGAAGGAGATATTAAAAATAAAATCAAGATTGTAAATAGCTCCAACAGGGTGGAGCTTATTGCTGTTGTTCGGCAGTATCTTCAAGAACTACTTCAATGCATTGTCAGCGAATGCCACCAGGTTACTTCAACAAAATGTGCGTGAACGCTTTTTACAAAACTTATATTACTGTATGGAGGCTGGAGTTCATAAATTTGAACAATTAATTGGCTGACATGAGTAATTTGCGAATAAAGTTGTAAAAAGTAGGTTTTTTATTANGAAAAATGACTTTTTATGAAGAAAAACAAACATTTTGCTAATGTTTCGAAAATCTTTTATGATTCAAAAGATAGGTAGTAATAATTAACAATTTTAACGAAATTTAACAACATTTGCTACAAGTAGCTATTAATAGTGGTAATGTATGTACAAAAGCTGTCCTGTAGTTCAAACGGTTCCTAAGATATTGGCAAAAATCTGAAACAAAATTTTGACACCGTGTATCTCGAAAACGAAAGCTCGGAGAGAAAAATGGAAGAGGAAAAATGTGTTTCTCTTTTCAAGAGGAATTTACAGTTTTCCGTTGCGACACTTATTTAGGAACACCCTGTATATATTTTTTCAATCTACCCTTTATTTTCTTTTTTCACCCCTGTTCGAGGGTTGAAAAAAAATTACTGTCACTTATTGTTATTATATACCTCAAACTAACTTATATCAAAAATTCAGGCAAGTTGGCCAAATTGCGATTTAAATAAACTATATGCTTTAAGTTCATGCTAAATTAGCCGCTATCTTTTGCTGCTGCATGGACTTTCGTACATGGTGGGCTCTTGAAATCCAAACAGAGCAAATAGCTCTCAGGAAAATTATTTTTCCGAAAAACGGCGAGACAGGTCGATTTTTAATCGAAGGGGGACATCTTTTCACATAAATTCCATGTTACAAACTCTACCCCCTAGGGAGGGGTAGCAACCTCCCAAAAAATCTTAATAGGGATGGAGGGTCAAGTGACACAACGTTTGAAAGGTATTCTAATTCTCTGCACAACCATCGTGAAGGGAAGTAGGTGGAGTGAAATAAATTTTTGACTCCACAAGAAAAAGTCCAAGGTAGACAAATCCGGCGATAGTGCAGTCAATCTATGACAATTGACGGTGCCATTAACAGAAAAAGAACACTCATCCGGGAAGCAGATATTAAAAATAAAATCAAGATTGTAAATAGCTCCAACAGGGAGGAGCTTGTTGCTGTTGTTCGGCAGTATCTTCCCTTCAAGATCTACTCCAATGCATTGTCAGCGAATGCCACCAGGTTACTTCAATAAAATGTGCGTGAACGCTTTTTACAAAACTTGTATTACTGTATGGAGGCTGGAGTTCATAAATTTGAACAATTAATTGGCTGACATGAGTAATTTGCGAATAAAGTTGTAAAAAGTAGGTTTTTTATTAACAACCTGCATCTCCGAAACTAATCGGTCAAATTCAAAAAGTAAAATACGGTTGTGTAGAGAATTAGGATACCTTTCAAACCATGTGTCACTTAACCTACTTTCCCTATTAAGATTTTTGGGGGGTTGACCCCCCTTCCTAAGGGGGCAGAGTCTGTAGCAAGACATTTATTTGAAAAGATGTTCCCCTTCGATCAAAGATCGACCTGTTTCGGCGTTTTTCAGAAAAATAATTTTCCTGACAGTTATTCGTTATGCTTCGTTTTCAAGATCCCACCCTGTATAACATTTACTAGAATAAAAATAACTGCTAGTTCTTCGGATTGTTTAAGACCTAAAATGTGCAACAGGCTGCCTGATGAATTAAAACCAATTTATCGTAAATATTTATTTAAAATTCTATTGGCATTTTTGCCTACACGACTTTAGTTTGTAAGTTTTACTTGACTATTCCTATACGTACAGGGTGTCCGCAAATTACACCGACAACGCATATTCAGGACGATAAATAAAAACGAGCTACGAAAAAAAAGTTAAATATAAAATTTTTGGTTTTTGAGTTACAAGATTTCAAAGCTGTCAAAAATAAAACTAATTTAATTAATAACTTCATAAACAAATAATAAAATGTGCCAAATTTTAACCAGATAGGTAAAAGGATTATGAAGTTATTAATTAAATTAGATTTATTTTTAACAACTTTGAAGGCCTGTAACCCAAAAACCAAAAAGTTTTTATTTAACTTTCTTTTCGTAGATCGTATTTACTTATCGTCGTGAATATGCAGTCAAACATTGTCGGTGAAATTTGCGGACACCCTGTATAATGTGTACTACTGTACACTACGTGTACAAAGAATAGTCGTCCACACGACAAGTATTCCGAAAAAGATAATCTCTTAATAATAAAAAATAATCTCGTTGAGGAAAAAATATGTGCAAAGATCTCTCCCGTTCATCGCGGTTATCCGCAAATCTTTTAAGGGAGGCGTTAGCGGATATCAGTGTTCTATGGCACCGTATAAACGTTCTTGATACACAGGGAAGTGTTCGGCGTGGAGGATAAGAGCCACTCGGGCCACATGAAGGCCGTCAAGCAGTCCGTCCTCGATGGTACCTCGAAGTGGTCTGCGAAAATCGCCATCACAGGTTTGTCGAAGGGGGGGTGTTGCTGTTTGTACATACTACATGTGCAAGAGATTTATGTGGTCTATGTATCATGTGCCTATATGCGTACAGATCGACACTAAGTTCACCATCGGCGGGAGGGTAGACCTTTAATGTATACCGGGTGTCCAAAAAGTCCGGAAACAGCTGAATAATTTCCCAGGTAAATTATTTTTGACAAAATGTCAAGCAACATTTGACGAGGAATTCAATGGTGACCTTGGATTTGACCGTGACGATGACCTTGAAGGTTATTTCAAGGTCACCTCCATCTTTCTAAATGGAAACCCCCTATTTCGGCGTCCACAATCGAAAGAGCGGGAAATTTTACATCCAAAAACTATAAGGTCATAAAAGAGGGTTGACCTTAAAGGTCATTCAAAGGTTATTTAAATTTGAGGGCTGGAAAAAGGACGCAGTTGATGAAAATAGTACAAAGCTCACTTTAGTTATTTTGTTTAATTGCAATTAGTGGTGACCTCAAACTCGACCTTTTTGGTGTCCTTCAAGGTCATTTCAAGGTCAATTTTGTTTTACTGAAAATCTCATGTGACGTCGGCAATCAAAAGAGCGGAAGTTTTCATACTTCTACTTTTAGCGTTACCCAGGAACAACGACGTGGGCGTAGTAATTTATGTTCCCTTTGGGGTGCTTTATTACCTTGAAATGACCTTGAAGGACACCAAGAAGGTCTAGTTTGAGGTCACCACTAACTGCAATTAAACAAAATAACTAAAAGTGCGCTTTGTACTATTCTCATTAACTGTGTCCTTCGGAGATATCCAGCCCTCAAATTTAAATAACCTTTGAATGACCTTCAAAGTCAATCCTGATATATGACCTTAGAGTTTCTGGACGTAAAATTTCCCGCTCTTTCGATTGCCGACGTCGAAAAAATGGTTTCCATTTAAAAAAATTGAGGTGACCTTGAAATAACCCTCAAGGTCATTGTCAAGGTCAAATCCAAGGTCACCATTGAATTCCTCTTCAAAAGTTACTGCAAGAATGACCTTAACAAAATAATTTACCTGGGAAATTATTCAGGTGTTTCCAGACTTTTTGGACACCCGGTATAAAAGCCAAACTGGGATTTTACAAACGGAAAAATATTTTCGTTTTAGTCAATGTAAGGCTTCAGGCTTATTGTTAGTTATGACGTGAACTCAAAAAATGCTTTGCATGTATAGTTAATGGCAAAAAAATATGTTTCCAGTTGAAGGTCTACTACAGGCTAGTAAAGTATCTTTGACGAGCAGTCACTGCGTCATCACATGTTTAATTTTTGAAATTTTTTTTGTAGATTGAAGCTTCAGTGTCACATTGTATAAATAGAATTTAATAAGAATTTATCGTCAAATAAAATGAAGAAAAATGACAATCAAGATGTAAGTGTTGTGTTGTAAAGTGTGAAAATATACAGGGTGAAAATCCAGAATTACAATTAGCAACACAACACTTTTTTATTTTACTGAATCCTTATTAAAATCCATTCATAGCAGATGACACTGAGGCTTAGACCTACTCAAGATTTAAAAAATTAAGCACGAGATGGCGCAACTGCTGTCGCCAAAGCTACCTTACTAACGTATTCCCGCTTACACAGAGAAGCCAAAATATAATAGTTGTTTGAGCCAGCAGATCTATTATAGTTTGGTGCATAATTCAAACTTCTGACTGAATGCTGAATGTCGCTTCTGCTATCTCTTGACTCCTATCACCTTATTGCTTGAGCCTTTCAACCGATTGGGTAATTCTTACACACAACATCTCAGTAACTACCCTGATAGTAAAATTAGAAGAGAATACGTTCTCTACACAGCGTCCATACATCATTGTACCCGACGAATATACAGGGTGTCCGCGTTAAGCTCGACATGTGACATATGAGGCTTTGTTTTTTTGAAATGTCAAATCTTTTAGTGCATGAAATCTACTATTTTAAACTTTTAAGCAATAAAAAAATTAGTATGTAAGTATTGTTATGATTTCATGTTCTTTACAACAAGAAATTTGACGTCTTTCGAAAATCTAATAACGCCATAGTCCCTTGTTCGCTTTAATACGGACACACTGTATATCATGCACTTAGAATTCGTGTAGCAGCACAATGTTGAGCTTTCCTAGAAGCAACTAGTTTCTTGTACAGAATAACACATAACTTCAAATTTTTACAATAAAAATTATCAAAAGTACGTACCCTGTTATGAAATTTTTGTTAAGTATGTAGTTATTTATACGTGTGGATAACAGCTTAGTGAAAGGTGATACGAAATCTAAATTGTGGAATTATGATAAAACGGTAAGAGATACAAAGAAGCTTAAAATGGGAGCAAAGTTGCATAATCAGGTGACCAGCCTCTAAAAAATCAAATCTAAAATCATTAGTTTTCGAAATATTTGAAAATCCGTTTTTTTTTCATTTCACCCCTGTTTGAGGTGATATTGACAAAAGAAGAACACTTCTCATGGCAACTTTTTGCCCTCTAACGAATGGCATAACCAAAGTTTAAATGTAACATTCAGTCTTTCTAGGACCATCATCAACTTCATTTTTTGAAATATGCCCTTGGAAATTTTATTACATTTTTTGGAAGCCTTCATGACCCCCCAGTAATGTACTGGCCTCAGCCCTTACCAGATTCAGACGTTTAGTCTCGAAAACCAGGGCGTTGATCAAATAAATCAATTTTATTGTTAGTCGGTTTGGAATACAAAAAAGTGTAAAAAAAAACAAAACGTGAAGATAATACAATGGCTCACATGATGACCTATTTTATTTGTAATATTATACAGGGTGATACATTTTGTTTTTGGCAAATAATGATAATAGGTACCCACACCTCCGCCTCTGGTAAGTTTCTAAAGCTGGTAATTTTTTGTTTCATACCTGCTGTCATACTAAATATGCACGCCGAATTTGGTTAAATTATCTCAAGCGGTTTAGAAATTAAAAATTGAAAACTATATATTTTTTTATTTTTGATACGCTATAGCTGGACAATGACTGTCCTAAGACCCCACTTTTATAAAACAAAATACGCCCCTGGATTTTTTACTTCTACTTAAAAAACTATGTGTAACGCATCAATATTTTGTAGGGGATGCAAAACAATTTAATTTTGTAGTTTTACCCACAGATTTAAGAAATTTATATATTTCTTAGTCAAAAAGGTTTTATTAAAAGTATTTCTACAAAAACTTAAATCATTGTACGTATTTGTAACCACAATTTATATTATTTTCATCCTCTTTTGTATCTTGCCCCCCTCCCCCCTGACTAGGCTGGGGACGATCTTGCATATAAAATTCATCTTCATCTTCAGTGTTCCAAATTTATCTAATTTTTTATTTAGTTTTCTATATTTATTGAATTATCTTACACTCTTAAGTGTCCTTAGACCCTGTGAAATTGAATTTTGAAAACTAGAAACAGCTATGGGCACAAAATTAAAACTCTAATAATGTTTTATTGTAACGCGTAATGGTAATAGTTTAAATAACTAGGTATAACGTCACTTACAGTCTACGATAATTCAATAAACATATAAATCTAAATAAATAATGGATGCATTTGGAATGGATACATTGAAGATGAATTTTTCGAGACAAAACGTCTGAATCTGGTTCGGGCTGAAGCAGTACAATATTGGGGGTCATGAAGGCTTGCAAAAAAATGTAATAAAATATCCAGGGCCGTATTTAAAAAAATGTTGACGATGGACAAAAAGTTGCCATGAAAAAGTGTTCTTTTTTTCAATATCACCTGAAATAAGGCTGAAATGAAAGAAAAACCGATTTCCAAATTTTCTTTTTTATATACATTTCAATAACTGATCAGGTTAGCCTTGATTTTTTAGAGGCATAATGTTGGTCACCTGATTACGCAACTTTGCCCATTTAACCAACTTCGTATCTTTTATCGTTTCCGAGATCCCTGTAGTGAAAAGCGAATTTGTAACAGCCTGTATATTGTTGTTATCAACGTCTGAAACGACATCGAAGTCTTGTTTTTTATAGGCGCCATATTGGATTTTCGAATTGCCAATAACTCAGCAACGACTCATCTGTTCAATAGCGGATTTCGGGAGCTTATTATAAATGAAATGAGGAGAATTTTTTAAAGTTCCATGAAGTTTAATTAATTTGTAGAAAATTGACAAAAATTTTAAGAAACTGTAATTTTTTGTTAATTGCAAAATTATTTATGCAACAAAAAAATTTTGAAAAACAAGTGAAATACGACTAAAAAAAAGAAATAGCATAAAATCGGTTCCCTTCAAATATTTTCGGAACTATTCGAATCCGTGATCGGCATAAAATTCTGCACATTTTTGCTTATTTAATCATTTCTGTATCTCTTAAAATAAGAAAGATACCTGTATTGGACAATTAAAAAATTGTAACCCTCTGTGTATTATACACAATTTATTGACGTATTTTCCCCCATAGTCATTTCAGTGCAAACGTAAATGGAAAAATCACTGCTGTTATTCACAGATAAAATTTCATAACAATTTTGAAACCGAGACGAACACGTGCGTCGGGTTCGTGCCCAACGGCGATCTAAAGACAATTATTGAACCTGTGCCAAATAGAAAATCGTTTACAGGACCTGTTGTGTGAATTAATAGCCAATACTGTTGGAATTGGCAAAAAGCATTATCCGTGGTCCCTACTTCCGCGCCTTGTTCATTATTGGATGTTGTATTTTGTTGTACTTGGAGGTTACTGCCTATAAATATCCTCTTGGATGGCCGTTACTTTAGTTGACATGGCGCAAGGCTTGCAAATAAAATTATATGAATTTAAGAACGTTTTCATTGAATATTTACAATTAGACTTGCGAAACATCAACTAATATCTTACAGTGCGAAAAAAAGGTTTGATCAATAAGGAAATGTCAGGAATATTAGCCTGTTTTGACTTAGGACCAAGTCGAAAAAGTTTTTTGATTTGAAATTTTTAACAAAACTGTTTTTCTTTTTCTTTTGGGATACTCTACCGTACTACGAATTGAAAAATTAAAAGAAAAATGTAAATAGACTCTTACACAATAAAAGTCCGTCAAGAGTTGTTTTTAATAAACTTATTTTTACCTAATCTGAAACTTTTGCCAATAAATTTTTGCATTTCCGAAGCTTTTCCTCTTTCGTTTTCAAAACAATACATTTTTTTACAAAAGTGTCTTATATGACAGACAATTTATTATTTGTTTGTTGTAATAACATTCTAATAAATGTCAGCATCTTTCAAAGCATCTATCCCGATTTCCTGAAGATATCTAAGTTGTACAACGATCCCTTAAAATTTGTAATGTTTGAAAATGTTCCAAAAACACATAATTATATACTACTTCAATTAAGAAAATGTTTAACTCTAATCAATAAAGCTATCAACTTTAGCCATAGACAAACTGATGTCAAGATTACAGAAACAGGTTTTAAGCAAAAGGAATATACAGGGTGATCCATAACTTATCCAAAAAAAATTTAATGTACTACTTTAATGACTTGCAAATACAGTTTTGTAGAAAAAAAAAACTCAAAAAGGGCAGTACGAAAATGATTTAAAAATACACTACTAAACTGGCCACCGCGCGCAAGGCAAAGTCGGCTGCAGTCGGCGACCAGCACGGCGGCAAAGTATAATAAAAAATGAACGGACAAAAAATTGAAAGAAAAGAAATAAATAAAATTTTATAACACCTATTTTATATCGACAAATTCAACTGCTTCTGTCGCTATTGTAATTATTAATTAACAAAATTAATTTGTGGTTTTAATTAATAAAATAATTTTTTGTCTCGCTTCACCATAAGTTAAAACAATATCCGTTAACTCCGAGTTGCTATACACCTAAGCCATTTTTGACACTTGAAAAACTAATGTAAACACAATCGCAAAAACGTTAATACCTACTAAAATCGGATTTTAGTAGTCGGAATCGCCTGAGCCACGTGGAAAGAGAGAGCGCATTGCGCACAGCGCACAACGCAAGTGACGCTAGAGAGCGATACTATGTAAGAATTGAAAATACTACAACTTCAATAATTTTTTTCTCGGAAATTATAAGGATTTTACATTACATTTATTTATTCCCAAATTTTTTTGGATAAGTTGTGAATCACCCTGTATATTAGGCTTTCGGAAAAAAAACTTCAAATGCCCAGAGAATACTAATACTTCCAGTTTCTTAATTTTGTCAAAGCATTTGTCTGTGTGTCCCACTCGATTCTCGTAGATAAATTACATTATTACAGTTTGACAGCTCACAGTGTTGGCCTTACATATTACCTCAGTAATGGACATATGTCGTCCTTAATAATACTACTTCAACCTGTCTCGGTGTCAATGCGGAAGTGCCACATGGACCAGTTCTTGGCCCTAACCTGTTTTTAATTTATGTCAGTGGTTTACCCTGAAATGTTTTTTTTTTAATTTCCAATTTGTTGTTTATTTATATGTACATGAATAGTTTTTCATTTGTTTTCCGCGAATATCAAAGTAAATAAAAATAAGTTTTTTAACAATAACACTATTTCGTTATTTTTTTAATTTGTGAAGAAAAAGAAAAACTGTTTGAAGAAACGTCACAGATAATAAATTCAGATTACAATTTTCAAGATTACAGTACAATTTTCTATGTACGTATGCTGTATACTTACATATCTTTCACTATATTAGTTGGTGCTTGCAGCTGCATTTTCATTACTAACTTAAGCATTATTTACGAATCAAGTAAAATTACTGATTTTGTAGTTAAATTATCTTTATACTAAACATATATTAAGTACTCCCAAGGATCTAGGTGCTGGTCGAAACAACACGACATAAGGAGAACCCCACCGCACGCAGATATTTATAAGTAGTGACCTCTTTTGTTGTATCGGTGTTCTTGTTTCCGGTTGACGGCGCGCAGAACAACATTTTCAGTGGACCCAGACACACACATTGATTCAATTGAGCAAGCGGAGCAAATGACTATCGAGGGCACTTCCAAGTGGTCATGCAAGATAGCGATCACAGGTATTGCCAGCTGCATTCTATCGGGACGCAGGTTTCGATCAGACGTTTCTTGATTCACACGCTAAAGTACCGAATGCCTTTCTGGACTTGACACGTGCCGGTGCGGGGTGTGGTCAGATTTTCGACATTCCGACATTTATCTCGACATAACAAAATTATTGATAACCATTCACAAAACGTAACACGTCTCCGTAATGTGACAGGACCAAAGCGGGGTAGTAACGTAAGGGCGCCCATAAGTCAAGCTGTCATTGGTCTGCCGTGGCACGATTGGCCTAGTCACGTGGTGACTTGATCGCCGAACCTCGCGCTGTGTGAAGGTGCCTTTATAAAAAATTCAGGTTCAAATTCAAGTATATCCCAATTTTTTTTAATTTCTATGAATCATTTGATGTAAAATCTTATAAATGTGATGAAATATTGTTCAAAAGTCATAAATAAACTTCTGTTTATAACTTTTGGTCTAATCAATATTTTTTGACGCACGAGTGCTAGTTTTGTAGGTCTTTTGGAGACGAAAAAAAGTACTTTACTGTTTTCTCGGGGAAATGGACGGAAAAAAGTTATAAGCGAAGAACGTGAATTTACGTAAAAATTATACAATTAACCACCCTGTAAACTATCTTCCCCCCATTTTCATGACTGTGGAAACTAATATGTTATTGTACATAATATTTAGCATCTATAGCGATAAATTCAGCTTGCCGAAAAAAAAAGTCCCTTCCAACCCTATATTTCCTGGCCTATTATGCTCTGTTCTGTTGCAAGACCAAATATACTGCAATAAAAATAATTTCGTAAAATTATAAGAAATTTTGTCATAGTATTTTTTTTTGTAAAATAGAGGACCGCAATAAATATATTAAATTTTTAATAGCATTTTTTTTCTCATTGCTATTGTCCTTAGGATTTACGGTACATTTTTGTGAAACACTCTGTACATGTAATGGTAAAGAAATCACGTTTCTTTATTTTTAAATAAAAAAATTCTAATGGTAATTTTGCTGTGACTTAAAATAGGTTTGGAACAAAATTTGAAAATGTTTTCACTAAAACCCACAGTATGTACGTACCTTTACAACTATTTTCAGAAAGAAATTCCACGCGGTAATGGCACAGGAAGTTTCCGATAATCCCTCAACGACTTTTGAACACGAATCAGGGGGATTCCTCCGTCAGACAGATGCGATATGTCGCTGTACAAAAAGTTTACGCGGAACTTTCCAGGAGAATTTATTTCCAGTCGAACATATTTTATTAGCGTCCCAATCGTTTTCTTTTCGGTGCGGTTAAAGTTGGAGAACGGTATCTGAAATAAGAATTTAATTTAGCATGTGTCGTAGACAACTACGGAAGACTATTCGGTAATTTGTAAGGTTCCCCCGTTAACCACGAAGAAAGTTCTAAAACCTGACCACACACCGCACAAGGCAAACTTTGCAAAATCTGCACTCAATTGAAATAATTACTTCCAAAGTAACTACAACAGACTTTCTAATATTACGTTTGACTGTAGTTATAGATAAGCACGGGGATACCACAATATGTTTAACAAGTTCATACAACCACTGCAATTGTAAAAAATATCTTACAAATAAAGAAAATCGGTAACAAATTTATAAGCCTGGAGATATAATCACAACCACACAAAAGAGGACTCCTAGAAGGTGATCTGTCATGGAAAATGATGCATTATTCTTTTAGTTGGCAAGAGTCACCTCTGGAAAGAGCACTATTCAAAAGCTAAATTAATCTCTACAACCTTTCAGCTGTGGGTGAACATCGAAAAACCACCGCTAGAACTTAAAAATCATCTACATTTTTGCATTCGGTCGATTCAAGTCACAAATTCAAACCACGACTTTACAATTCTACACAGCGATCAAGTGATGCGAGCTTATTTGATAAATGGACATAAATTCCTAATCTACAGACAATGTACACCCATTACAACAGAAGCTCCAAAATCTGCTACAACTAATACGTTTAGGAGGTGGATCTGCAAAGGAGTCCCTGCCTTCATGGAGTTCGGTGATACCATGATTGCAGAGTGACTGCTTTCAGGGGCTATATCAAAAGGAAAAACAGTAACACCTAAAATGACAGCAGATTTTGTAGCTTGAGAGCAGGGGGTTTCTAGCATCTACCAAGTGCACTGCAAGGTGACAGGACTTATATTGTCTTCGTATATCCAGTACATGCTTGCGGTGAGTAAATCATAGTGTGTACAGTGTCTGTGGGTTGGTTAAGAATTTAGATTTATAGATCGCATCACTGAATTGTCTGCTGTGGTGTGCGTCCTGTTTCGTTTCTGGGCTGTAAGTTTATGGTTTGAGTTTGTAACCTGACTCCACCGATTGAAGAATTTTAGCTGACTTTTAGGTTTCAGATGTGATTTCTTGGTATTTCCCTGAACAACGAATTCCAGAATATGACGCGTCGACTCATTCCCACTTAGAAACTTACTGAATCCAGAGTTTTGGCTACTTCTTTTGGTTTTAGAGACGACTTTTGACAAGTTAAAGAAAGGTGACGTAGCATTTCCCATGGCAGGTTATATTTATGGGTGTCATCGAGGAACAGATTACCTTTTAGTGTGTCTGTGAAATTTACCTTGAACCAACCCCCAAGAATAAATAATAGATGCTTTTAACGCTAATATCATGCAGTCACAAACGTCGCGAGAATAAAAATAAGTGAACAAGCGAAATATATTTCTTTCAAATTTTGACATTAAAAATATGAAATTAGTGAAATAAATATAATTTTTTTAATTTCGCGTTTTGGCATTATTAGATTCGGCATAACAATAAAAATAAAAATTTTGAAAATGAAATTGAATTATCTGCGTTTAACATAAATCAAATATTAAGCATTCCGCGCGTATAAAAGTTGGACCATGGGGTTCAATCGAATTAATAGTGCTATTGATGAGTTGATAAAACGAAAGGTGTCAATTGAATAAGAAAAGAATTCACAAAAACCGACGACAAATAAAAAATTTGGTACCTTCATTTGCTTTCGAGTGGAAGGTGATATTAATTTTCGTGACATCTTCAGCGGCTTAATGAGTTAGAATTCAAGAAAAAAAAAGTCCTGTCCGACACAATTTTGAATAGACCTCTCGATTACAAAATATTTTTCTAAAAGCAATTAGTTCTTAGTTTTCTCTGGAAAGCTTTCTTCTGTTTTCCATTACCGAATAATGTCAGTGATATCTAAAAATATAGGATATACAGAGTGTTACAAATGTACAAAAAGTGTATATTAACTAATTTTTGCCAAATTTGTCAAAAAAAAAATAATACTTAAGCTTTGATTCTACATGAAAAGCTCACTTTGAACATTTTTTAGTTTAATTATAATTCATTTAACTAAAATATCTAGAAAATTAATATCGCCCGTTTGACATGTGTCATTCGTTTCTATATTTAGCTGATTTCGAGATTCTCTCGACTTGCATCAAAAATGGAAAATCCGTAATTTATTATAACAAATGATGCCGAGGAATAAAAACCTATAACGAATCCTCTTATCAAAATCCTTATTACATCCACTCAATGCGAAAATATATTTCTTTGCTTCTTTATTTATACACTTGAAGTGAAATGAAATATTTGAACAGTGTATCCAGTACTAGTAGCACTACATATATATTTCTATCGATTTTCACCTCATCTGCTATTTGTTCTGATATATTTCAGTGGAAGCAGAGATTTTAGTCTCTTTTACAAATATTAATTTGAATCGTGTTTCATTCCAAAGCGGAAGCGTGGTTCGATGATTTACGCTGCATTATGGTTTATGAGAAGTTCTCTATTAAAATCCACAGAACCGTGGTAGAACTTCGCACAGGTGCCTCTAGAATTTGGAAATTGAATACAGTGAAACCATTGTTAGTAATATAAACGAATGCAAAAAATTAAAGGGTCAAAAGAATATCCGAAATTTTTCCGTGATTTTTGATAGACTGTATTTAGGTGAAAAATGGTCGTATCGAAATTTAAAAAAAGGAAATTGATGCTGAATAAACAAACTATCTGGTCCATGCCATGGCTTAGCTGATAAGCTATTTCTTACTAGATGATTGTAATAAAAAAATATTACACCCAATGGAGTTTGTACTTAAACTTTAAAATAAAGATTTTGAAGAAATATTTTTTACATTTACACTCAGTATAAAATAAAAATCAATTATGTGTGTTCCATTAAATTATTTGTTCATTTAACCATCGCACAACAAATTACTAATTTAATGTGTTACTAGAAATCCGCTGATAAAACACCGACTGAGAGGATTAATTGTTGATTTATAAATCACTGAAATGTTGTATTGCATAAAGGATAGTTCCATTGCACCTAACAAATTGTTCGCGTGGATTAGCTGACATTTTCGGCAGTGGTGAAACAAAAACCAAAAATCGGGATTTATTACACTGACAGTACATTATTCCTTTGAGGCAGTATATAAATCAACACAACTGTGTATGTACAAATAATCTATACGTATCTCAACAAAAATAACATGGACCTGGACATTAATAAATATTACATTTAATACCTACTCAATTTAATGCATATGTCACTAAATAAATAAATACAAAGTAATAATTTAAATGTAAAAGTACAATGAAATCGTCGATATGCATAATATTCTTTCTGTAAGGCCTTTATTACAGTATCGTAATCGTTAAGTTTGAATCAACTTGTATGAAAAAAATACCACGTCTAACCCTGAAGCCACGTCTATGTGTGTCTCAAAATACGTGATATACACATTTGTTGAAAATAAAAACAAAATGAACGTACGAAATTTCAATGAGACCGCTTCTATTGTTTTTTTTTGCAAATTTTAATGATGATTTTTTTCCTTAAAAGTATCATTAAAGTTTAGTAAAGTATTTTAACTACTCTGTATTAAAATATATAACACAAGTACAAACAAAATTATATATGGCATGTAAAAAAAGTTACTGGTGTTGACAAAAGTTCAATATAGATACAGATAGTGAGATGTAATTGAAATTTTATCAGAATCGCCTGTCCATTGAAAAGCGTGTTCTATTAAATAGTTATTTGGAAAACTAGGTTACTGTAATTGCGTCTGCGCTGGTATAATATAATTCAAAATATATTCATAAGTCGTAATCCTACATTTTTTATGGAATTGTATGTCCAGCGTATTGGAGATTTGAAGTTGCATTTAACTAACGATATTTTTAGAATTTTTTTACTTACTATATTGTTTCATGAGGAACTACTAAATATGTTGTAATGATATCCCACTCTATCATTTTGCAAATATTTCCATTTTTTGTAACCTCTCTCAAAATTTCAATATACGAAATATACATTTGTAACCGAAAAATAAATTAATTCCCACAAATTGAACAAAATAAGTTCGAGAATCACAAACCATAGATATATTTTAAATATTGTTTCAACTTAGCATTCGTACGCTCTCCAAATCAGAGCCACTACAGAGGAAATTCTTTATGTATGTACTGTGAGTGTATTTGACAAACAAAACGTATTATCTTGAATCCCAAAGTAAATATTTGCCTATGGCCAATGTACAAGACAGTGGAAATGTTGCGAAGTTTGTAAGGTTCTTCAGACCGTACAAATAAATGTTTTGCAGAGATACATAATGTTAAATAACAGTACAAAAGGAGGATTTTTTTTCATCTCGCAGTGTCCGACATTTTTGTTGATGTCAATACATCAGTATATAATAAAATTCATACTTATGAATAAAAGAAAACACAAATTAAACCGATTGTATAAATTTATCTGACATTTGAAAACCCTAGCCATTGAAAACAGTAAATTTTGTTTATCTACGAAAAATATGTTTCACATTAAAAGTGGATTTATTTAATGTGCAATAAAAATCCATGTGACAATAAATATTAACGAGTCTGTTTTAGTAATATGTCTAGATAACACCATCATTAAATATTGCGTGATTATAAAAGTTATGTTTATTTTTATAAATATTAAAGTACCATTTAATTTGTCATAAATGTGTAAACCTAGTAATATTTTTAAATAATAACATATCATTAAACAGAAATTAAACAAACATAATTCTAGATGTTTTTGAAAAATTACATCTTTTAGCTGTCTGTTGTTTTAATAGATATCAAATATAATATTTTTTCTGTAAATATCTGCACAGTTTTTTTCATCAGTTTCATATAGTCAAAGACTTGCTATTTCCGATGAAATCTTTTCAATATCAAAATATTATGTGTGTAAAAATATTTTTTTTTTATGTAACCAAATGGGAAACTTCAAAATTCACTG